AGAACAACTAGAAAGTCTTGCTGCTGGGAATGACAGCAGAGAAGTCATCGGTGCACAACTTATCAGAGATGAGTCAACATTGAGTATGAGAGCCAGTCGACAAAGGTTCGACTGAAATATTGTAGGAGGCCATCGGTGAGGGGCCGACAATAATCCACGTTTGGTTTCCCAAGCAATACATCCTTGATGAGGATATCAAGCATGTTGTCACTGTAGATACGCTATAGTTTCGCGACAAGAAGGTCCGAGAATGGAATCTTAGGATCGACGCTTTAGCAAAGAGAGATCTTGCGGCTAAAAGTATGTGCCAGAAGGATCGATGACAGAAACCTTTAGAAAACAGATAAAGGAGAATCGGTGGCATCTAGGGTGAAAAACGATGGCAGCTAGGGGAACCAACGACTGTTGATTTTCTGGAGGCCGACGGAGTCGAGGCTCCCGATTCAGGAGGGTCGACCAACATACAAAGCTTGCAGGAAAAGAAGAAGAAAATATCATTGTTTCAAATACCAATATGAGTGCATCTTCCTTCCCCCACAGAGTATGGCAGGAAGGGAGTCTGACAATTCTCAAAGGAAGACCAATGGCTAGAGTACGAAATTGGACTCTCATGTCATGTTGAAATTCAAAAAAATGCAGAATACATAATTATTTCATTGAAATGAATGAGAGTATAAATAACACTTATAAGAATCATTTAATATGATAAATAATAAAAATAAATAACATGAAAATGAAATATATACCACCAAATATCTTCAATAATCAAACCATAATAATTATTTTGAGATAAAGGAAATAACATAAAATAGGAAAACCTAAAATAGAAAAGGAATTTGCTCTTAATCTAAGGAAATAAATATAAAATAGGAAATGAAATAACTCATTAATACAAGTAATTTATTCTTCATAATTTCTCACAATAATAAATTATTTCATGGCATGACTCCTAACAAATTTCAATCAGATGAGAAACTTTAGGTGATTATAACGTAAGTAAATACTAATTAGAATAATTATGGGAGTAGATTGATATTCAAAATTTAAATAAAATTTAATTCAACATCTAATAATATAATTTTTGTGAGAAATCAATTCCTCATTGGATGCAGCATATATTTAATTTAAAGTTCTATGAATCATTTTTTGAATTAAGAGTGGAATAAATAAAGAAGAGTTAAATTTGTATGATATAAATCAGAAGCTATTAATATTTGTTAGCATGTAATTAATTTATAGTTTAGGCGTTCCAATAGATAATGAAAGGATGCAAACTATTCACACTTTTGACATTCCAATAGATAATGGGAGAAGGATAGCCACCCTACTCTCAAACTGACACACTTATCAATGCAGCAGTCCGTCACTCCTTCATGAGCTTCCTTGATGTTTTTTTAGCCACCATCGAATAAAAATGCACCCGACTAGCGTAAAGAAAACTGCGTTTATCACTTGCGAGAGTGAGTATTGTTACAATATAACGTTGACTAAAAAACGTTGAGGATACGTACCAATGAATGATAGGTGTAATATTTTATGAGTAGAAATAAAAAATATTGAAGCGTGTGTGGATGATGTGCTAGTAACTAGTAAGGAAAAAAACATTCGAGCAACATATAAAAGATTTAAAATAAACCTTCGAGACACTTAGAAAATTTAACATGAGACTCAAACCATTTAAGTGCACCTTCGAAGCATAAATAAACAATTTTTTTTGGGCTAACTCCTGCTCTGGAAGGAATAATAGTCAATCTAAAGAAGGTGCAGGCATGTTGGTCGGGATTTTTGGTCGGTCACATTGATTTTGAAAAATAATTTTAATTTAATCCATATAAAATTTTGAAAGTAAAGCTAAAATGATCTCATACATTTTAATAGTTGAAGTAACCGAGAACAGCACTATAAGCAATGTACTTATCCCGATGAATAATAACATTACTTAACAACAGACTCGATTAAATAAACTAAAGAATTTATGATATTCATTTAGTTTGTGAACCTTTTATGTGTGACCGACAAGCTCCCCAGTTAATATAAAAATTAAATAATATTTGTGTTATATGGGTTCCGAGTTTCTTGTAAGAGCAAACCTCCATGGTTAATTACATTATAAATGACTGAAGTCGCTTAAGAAAACTCTCGATAATGATCAGAGGTCTCTGTCTTTAAAAGTTCAACGTTTAGATTTTCAATACTGATCATAGAAAATCAAATGAGAGTGGCTCAAGTGAGAACAAATATTTTTAGGAGTCAAACGAAAGAAAAGTAAAGAACATCACAGATCCTGAGAAGAACCCCGGTGTCTTCCCAAACTATCATATTATTTTATTTATTGTTTTAGAAGTAATGTTATTTAAATGTTTATTCCTGTCAATTTTTTTATTTTGGACTTGCATTTGCATGATACCTAGATCATGCAAATAACCTACAAACATATGAGAGATTACTTTGTGTCGAACGATGACCTCAAAATCCTAAAAAAGTTAGGACTTATATTACACAACATAGTTGTGCAAAAGCCTAAATATAGAATAAGGATTTACGTCGTGATAGATGAACTACCTCAATGTCTGGATTATATTTTTAAATTCTAATAAAAGTTAAGCTGGAGTAGATATGTTTCATGTCGGGTCTTGATTCATCGACAAAAATTCTTTCTCTTTCGTTTGCTTCCTCGTCGTGCTGCCCAAAAGCTTGTTCCTAGCTTCATATCGCGGCGATTGCGGGTTCAAAGTTTATGTGGACATGCAAATTATTTGGTCAGTGGCCTATCACAATGTACCTCCTAATTGATGTCCTACTATTCTCTACCCTATGAACAACATTTTCTTTACCCAATAGGACAATGTGGCTTCTACTAGTTGTTAAAGTCATGGCCCTCTCAGATCATTATGGATTCACGATAGGTTTTAACATGTCAATTGACTAGATTGATAAGTAAATGAGACATGAAGTAAAAATAATCACAATAATGAACAAAAACTTATTCTAAATGCATCCACATATCCTGCACATGCTACCAATTTATCATAAGAGAAAGTTAAAAACGATCTACTCACAATGCATGAAGAAAACACAATAATCAATTATCTTATAATAAAGAAAATTCACATACAATGAGATTACAATTAATACAAGATAATATGGAATGAAGCACTTATCTTTCTCCTTGAGAAAAGAAGTGAAAACTCCTCCTCAAATGATCTACAAGTGTTCCTTGCAATATTTACATCAATCCTTTACAATATTTTCTCATTTCACTATAAAAAAGAAGATAATACAAAATATTACTTTAAACTCTACTTTCCTGCACACTTAGACTCTATCCTCGTCTTCACAAATGATCCTCCTCGCTGTTAGAACCTCTTCTCCCTGTTCATAACCTCCAAATTCATCCATAACTACTGTAGAAATAGCCCAGGTTAGTTCAGTAGCATATATGCCAGTATGTGGCACTTAGACACCACCTTCTTGGGTAAGCAGGGCAAATAACTTGCGCCTAGGTGACAACCTGTGGCACCATGCCGTCAAGTTTTTTGTGTGTTGTACATCAACTGGCGGCTAGGCGGCCATCTGCGGCACCAAGGCTCCAACCTGTTGTTGCTTCATTGCTCTATTTGTCTCCTTTTTCGCTTCAATTTGCTCCAAATCTCCTACATTTTATACATGCAACAATAACATGAAAATGCATTCATTTAAAGTTCAATTTCATCAAAAAAAAAGTTTTAAATATAAAGGAAAAATCGTATGCTACAATACATGTCAAAATCCCCTAAAATGTTATTTGTCCTCAAGTAACACTGTTATTAAAGAAATGTATATGAGAGCTGTTACCTGCGTTCGAACAAAAGGAGGTTCGAAGGAGGATTAACCAAAATTTTTCATGTTTGTGTTGGTTTACATCAAGGATTGGCTTTAAGCCCATATCTTTTTTGCTTTAGTTATGGATGGTCTTACTGGACACTTACAGGAGGATGCACATTGGTGTATGCATTTTGCGCTATATTTCTTGTGGATAAGACGAGGAAAAAAGTTTAAGAAAAACATAAATTATGGAGGTCTACCGCGGAGTCTAAAGGACTTCGTTTGAGTATAACTAAAACTGAATACATGGAACGTAATTTTAATAATAGTAGCTCTAGTGATAGAAATGTAACTATGGTGATAAAATTATTAAAAGGTGTGAACGCTTTAGATAATTTATTGTTCAAAGTGATTGTGATATCGATGGGAATGTTATTAGAAGAAATCAAGTTGGCTTTTTGAAGTGGAGGAATGCTTCAGACCTATTGTGTGATAGAAAAGTATCACTTAGACTAAAAGGAAAATTTTATAAAATGGTGGTAAGTCTGCAATGCTCTATGACGCTGAATGTTGGCCTTTAAAAGAGAAACATAAAACTAAGTGTTGCCAAGATGAGCCAAGATGAGAATGAGAATGATTAGGTGAATGAGTGACTTTACACTCATAAACAAAATGCAAAATGAATATATCCATGATAGGATTGATGTTGCTCATGTGACAGACAAAATTATTGAGAGTCGTCTTAGATGATTTTGTCACATTAAATTTCGACCATCTGATGATCCGATTAGAGGAGTAGATGTTTTAGATTCAGCTTATGTTAAGAAAAGCAGAGGTAGACCTAGGAAGACTTGGACATATTGTATAAATAATGATCCAATTTATTACAATTAAATGAAAATATGACATTAAATAGGACGCAATGGAGAAAAATGATTCATGTAGTCGACACCATTTAGTGGGACAAAATTTTTGTAGCAGTTGTTGTTGTTATGTATTTCATATAACATTCGTATATTTACACAATACTTAATTTAAAATATTTATTCATATAATAATTAAATGCTCAACATCACATAATAGTATCACTTATATTAATTTTTATAAATTATTCTGTAAATATTAATATTTAGATGTGAAATATGTAAAATAATATGTTTTGAATCCTGTATGTAAAATCCCCTGAAATTTATCCCCGCCCGTCAAACCTCCGCGAAGCTTCGAGAGCCAACTAGAGCTAATGCCGTCACCAACTCGAGTTCTGGTCTGCTCGGCTCGACGCTCTAGGCTGCCTTAGCCGGACGTTTCCCGATTTATTGGAAAGCCTCCACCTTATCTCTCTTTGTTGCCTAAGCGATCCCCGTTTTTCCTCGATCCATTCCTCCGCCGGTTCAAGAATCATCCTCTCCGTTTCCCCTATCTTTCCGAACTTTGATTCGTTTTGTTTGTCCTGTAGCGGATCAACGAAAAGAAGGAAGGGGGATTTGGGAGATGGAGAACGGGGTAGCTGAGAAGCAGTCCTCGTACACGTACTGGGTGAGGGACGACGCGGCGCCGCTGCCTGTGCCTCGGAAGCTCACCCCGGAGGACATTTCTCAGCAATCCCAGCCTAACTTGTTGGGGTCCGTATGGAATCAGGTTGGTTGCCTATTCCGGTTTGATATCGATGCCATGTACGTTCCTCTATACTTGATGACGGTTATGGCTCTGGAAGTGATTATGATGTCTTCCTAATTTTTTTCATCTTCTTGATTTGCAACACAAATGCTAAACCGACTGTTTGATTGTTGTTAGTGTAGATGGTTATGGTGGTCCAAGTGTTGACATAGATTTTTTAGTTGGAAGTATGGATTGTTAGTCTGGAATGAAGATCACTTTTTGAAAAGGGTGCTGTTGAAACTTTAGGACTCTGCTCTTTAGTTCTCTAAATCAAATGGATGGATAGAGATTGGAGGAAGACATCTTTTGGGAATTTTTATGTCTTTTACGTCTAAGAGCGCTGGCAGGTTTTTTTTTTTGTACCCCTGAGTTTTTTCCTTTTTTTCCCCTTAAAACTTCAGGGGTAGTTTCTAATTTTTCCATCCTTCAGGACTTCAGATCCAAAACTGTTTTTTTGTTAATAGATATTAATGCTTTCAATTTGAGACTGTCAAGTTCACAAGTTAATGAAAAAACTTCTAATGCCTAATGTTGATCTTCTGGTCTGTTTATTGAAAAGAAAATTGAGTTTGTATTTCGTGGATGGGGAAATTGAATCAGAAAGCTGTAGACTATGATTGTTTAATACTATTTATAATGTATTGAATGTTTCATGGATGTATTGCTGGTTTTTTTTTTTCATGTTGCTCTGGATACCTTGTTACTTGTGAAAGATTCTGAAAGTAGTAAGCTTGGAAGGAGCTCATTCAATTTTCCTTTTGATTCTTAGAGAAAAATGTTAACATAAGGTTATTTGCATGATTGATTTTCTTATTTCATTGTTATGTATTTAGCAGTTTTATTTAGATGTCACTGCCATTTAGCTGACAATGTTTTCTATCAGATTCATAGTGTTTAATATAATGCTATATTAAATATTAGAATGTTATCAAGAAGAATCATGCTACTTTTGATTTGTACTTATTAAGGGTCTGTTTGTGACAACTACAACTTATTAATAACAGTTGTGAATCTGCTGAAAAGTAATTAGATGTTTAAAAAACTGCGGTGGCTATTATAATTTTTTTTTTCAGTCAGACCGCAGCTAGAAAACTGCCACAGCACCTATTCAGGATCGGTGGGACAACAAAGGTTTCAGCGCAGCTTTTTGAAAAAGTGGCTAAACACAATTTACCCAAACAGATAAAACTGCGATGCGATACTGCATCGCTGCCCCAAATGAACCCTAAGTTTGACAATGTTATGAAGAAAAATCAAGTTACTTTTAATTGTTACTTATCAAGTAAAGTCATGCTCTAGATACCTTGTTACTTATTAAAGATTCTGAAAATCTTAAGCTAGGAAGGAGCCCATTCAACTTTCCTTTTGATTGTTTGAGAAAAATGTTAACATAAGGGTATTTGCATGATGTCACCGTCATTTAGATAACAATGTTTTCTATCAGTTTCATTGTGTTTGATTTTAACACTATTATATATTACAAATGTCATCAAGAAAAATCAACTGAGCTTATGATAATTTTTTTTTTTAATTTCATTGATCTTAGCTCTCAGATAGATGATCAACCTCTAACTGACATCTAAATAGGACTTAATTGGCATTTGGTAAATTCTTATGTAAAGATGTCAGTGAACCAATAATTGTTTTCCTTTAATAGCAGGCATAGAAGATAAGGTCTTCGATTGCCCTGAAGATCTTCAAAAGATTGAGGAAGGATGATCCATCGATTATTTGCAAGGAGGCCATTTTAAGTTTAGACTATATAAAAGACTCAGTTTAGTTCTCATATTCTTGAAGAAAGGGCCAAAATAGTTTCACCATTTAAAGTTAATGTAAATTGAAGTTAACAGTGTTAGAAATGATAGTATTTCAGAAAAAAAAATATAGAACTTTTCTTTGAAATTTTTATTAAATCTAATAACTCCTTAATGTGATGTTTTTTTATATGACATCAAACATATTCTTTCTCAAGATATCTGTTATTGAGAAAGCGTAGATAAAATGCTATAATAGATGATTACCTAGTTAGGCTATCTCATTCTTCGTGAAGAAGAATTTTGATCATTGGTGGTATAGAAGTAACTTGCTGATGGCCATTGAAATTATTTTTTATCCAAATAAAATATTATTGTTCATTTAGCATGCTTTTAAGAAGGTTTTTCTTTGCACATTAGTTAAAAGTAAAATGCATGAATTGATCTAAGGTCTTTTTACACTCATACTATTTAGTGTCTTAATTTTTAGCATCATTAAATTTTATAATTTTTTATTTCAACCTGTTGTGTCAGCCTTACAAAGGCATAGCTGGGAGGGATAATCCTATTTTTAATAGTTTTGAAGATTTATGCAAATATTCTTGTTCAACATAACCACTAAAATTTGAACAGGAGACATTCTTAAAACAATTTGCTATGGAGCTTGGATCAAATAAAGGGACTATTTTGACATCATAGAATGGTGGAGGATGAGCTTAATGAGAAGTTCTTGACATTATCCAAAATATCCAAGTGTTTGTGTGTTTATTTAATAAAAATGGAATTTTAGTTTGCAAAGTAAACTGCACAAATTGTCATGATGTGAAGTAACTTCAACTAACAATTGATAATGATTTCACAGAAAAAAAATATTGTTTCAAATTGTCAAGGGAACCTTAAAGTCATTGTAACAAAAAATAAGAATTGGATTATTCATGCATAGGTGCATTAGTGATGAAATGTAACATTCAATATTTAAGTACTTTCATTTATGTAAATTAATTAGGATTTGTTATATCAGCCCATATTTAAACAAATGCATGAAAGAGCATAATTACTATGTTCAAATCTCTTACATGTTGTCATAACTCTTAAGAACTAGTAAACTTGAGTGTTTTTTGGCTAGGGATTAAAGCGTGATATGGTTACTTTGGAATGCTTGTTAAAGTGATCATGGTGTTTCCATTAATATTGTTAAAAACTTCATAATATTTTCATCAAGAGATAAAGTTTAACGGCGTTTGAAATTTGGAATCATATGATATACTATTTGTATTATTATTTCTACAGGTTTTTCTATTTCTTTTTTGATAAACCTTCACTAAAGTGATTTTTGTTGTTTTCAAATATGCTAAATAAATTTTATCTCACTGCTTGAAAAATGCTAATGCCAAAAGATTAGGGTTTTCCTGTTATATTTCAGAAGAATTGGGAAAGTAGGAAGTAAGGGGAAGTAATCATCTTTTGATTTTTGGTTGTAGGAGTAAATGTCAATTGACTTCCCAATCAAATTCTCAGTTTTTTTCCCTTGTTCCTGCCTTCAACACTCCGAATCACACTTTTGGAAGTCATTAATTATGATACTTATAAACTTTTTGGAATCGTAATGCTATTTATATTTATAGAAGCGCGCATAACTTTATATATGAATGTAATAAATATATTTTATAATGTAGGAATGTTAAGTTATATTGAAATCATATACACTGATAATAATTGACACATGATTGATTTATTATACTGAAATAAAATGTGTTTGAAATATATTACATGTACTTTATTAGATAATAAAGTTTGAAGCTATGATAATATATATATAAAGTTATTGGGAGGGCCGGTCCAATTGAGTGGGCCAGTTCAGTTTTCCAACGTAAGTTTTATATCTTCATATCTTTCTCAAGCAGTGCACCTGTTGCTTGATTAGATCACGGCAGTTATCTCTGTCTTTTCACCACGTACCTGCAGTTTCCCTATTCCGCTTTGCTGTCTAGACGGCATGAACTCTGAATTTTTAGCCACCATCACCTTTCCACCATTCTTCTCATCCTACAACTTGCCTAACCCCCCTTGATCGCCTCCCACTGCCTAGCAACCCTAGACTTGTCCCAGACATGCATGTATACATGCAAATAGATGGTTCTATTACCCTTAGTCTTTTGTGAAATGGAGTTTCTAAAAGCAAATATGATATTGAGTTTGTTCTTCTTTTGCATACATGTGAATAAATATTTCTTGACTTGGGACCGTCAACTTAAAGAATTTAATGTTGGTAATCTGCAAATATATCTGTTTGTTGATTAGTATTTGGTTTTTTCGAATGAAGTGCTTTAAGACTCATTGGATGGTTATTATCTTCTCTTTGGCATCACAATTAGTTGCACTGCATTTTTCAAAAAATTAATAGTGTTCTTCTTCTTTGAGTATCGTCTTTTTGTGTTCATGCATTCGGTGGTCTCTTAAAATCCTTTTCTTTTCCTTTAAAGAAGGACGAGAAAATTTGACAAACAATGGGTAGTTTCTTAAAATTCCTTCCTTTTAATAGTGCAGATACTTTTGGAATTACTTCAAGGAAGGGATTCTTGGACACTCTCTAAGAAGGCCTTTACATCTTTATACGGTGTAGCGTTTTGAATGGTGGTAGCAACCCTACAATTATTATTTTATTTTTTGATCATCTTATGTGAAAATTTTGAGCCCGCCTAAGTGAATATACACCGTGTACAATAGCTTATCAGAATTTTGAAATTTTAAATGATATAAAAAATAAGTGCACATTAATCAAACCAATTTAGCCAAACTTGTAAGTTAAACCTAAAAAATCCCCACAATACTTTATCGCTATTATTGTATGGCCCAGAATGGTTTTGTTATAATACTACTAACATGCATTTTACATGTGATATATTATTTTTGGAATTTTGTGCAGTATATTATTTTCAAATGTATACGGTCTCTCATGTATTGTCGTTCCTTCATGCTCTGTATATAATTTTTAGTTATTCCATTTGTTTATGTACCTAATAATTAACACTTCAACATCAGCTATACATGATAAACTTGCATTTTGCAGGCCGGAACATGGGAGGAAAAAAATCTAAATTCATGGGCAAATAGTAGAATTAAGGTTTAGTATCCAATTTGCATCAAGTTTCTTTTTGTGATAGGAACATTTTGTGACTCTTTAGTTTTTTTTTTTTTTACTTATAGACTAGATTACTAATACAATACTATATAAATGACTCAAAATTGTTTCTTTCTTGAACTGTAGGAGCTTCTTAGTTCATTGTCTTTGGAGTTTTCTAATGGAAAAGCAGCGGTTTATGAAGTTACCAAATGTTCAGGGGATGTAAGTATGTAGTTAGTGCGATAGATATTGTGTGAACTAAATTTTAATTGTGGTTATATTCTAAGCTTTATGAAGTTTGCCGATTGTGTGATAATTTCTCTTAATCTAACTGAATGTTCTCCATCGGTTTTTTTTTCATGCTTGCATGTTGTGAGATAAAATTATATGTCATATTTCATAACTGAAGCTAATTTATAATTGACACAAAATTTCACGGTTGAGGTTACATCTTGTATACTCCTTTTATGTTAGAATAATTTATGATGACTCAGGTATCGACATGCAATTTCCATCCCAATTATTTCAAAATACTTAGTTTCTTTAATTTCTTTGGTCATTTTGGCCATCATCAACATTCAAATGAAGACAAGCTTTGGCTTAATCCAAACCTTTTCCTCTATACTTCTATCATTGTGACAGCCCGAACTCATATCCATCGAGATATTGTCCGTTTTGGCCTAATGGCCCCACGGTTTTGCCCAATTTTTTTATGAAATTCTAACCCTTACGCCAAAAGGTGCCTCAATATTTAAGAGCTCACCTTCATTTTACTCGAGGGGTTTCACAATTATTTATTTTCCTCCTTTTCTCATCCTGCACGCCAAGTTGAACCGCAATTCATTGTTGCGAAAAAAGATGTTCTGGTATTTTGTTTACCATCTAGTCATCCACATTATTTTCTATAATTGGTGTCGTGCTATTCTGTTCCCCTCATGCTTTACTTGTCTGAGTTTATGTAAAGTATCAAACTTCTTGTCTCTTTACTAGTTGTATGCTTTGCATTTTCGTATTCTCAAACTTAATTTATTTTTCTTTAATAATTATTTTAACTTTCTTTATGTTATGTTCAATGAATAGGCTTTTTAAGTTGAGTTGTGTTTTATTTTTCTTTCTTGATAGCACATAGAAACCTCATGTCTCCTGTGTGCGTTGTTCTGTGCATGTTTGTGCACTTTTGATGGTTTAGCCGGGTGATGTGGGGTTTTCTTGTGGAATTTGCTTTCTGACTGAAGAACGTACATGGTATTCTATTGTTTAATTGTCAATTATTGCATATGCTGAAAATTGTGACCACCCAATCCTTATATTGAAATCTGCGGTACACATGCCATATCTATTTTCTTCAGTTTTCTTCTACCTATAAATTTTTATGCTGATAATAAATTGGATGATCTCATAGCTGTATCTTCAAGTTGAAGTTGTCTAAAAAAAATATATATATATATATTTTTTCTTAGATGCATTTTTCCTTTTCTACTCTTTGCAGTGAGGTTGGCCATTTATTTGACATTTTTTCTCTGTTGTAATGGATTGAACTTTCTAAACTAGCAACTAAATCCAACTTTAGAGCATTGTATGCTATGGAACTACCGCAAGTTTTTTGTTGAAAGGTGCCTCCTTAACATGCACTGACCCATTGACTTTACTATTAGCAGAAACCCAATGGGCTTTTTTGACTGTTTGGCGTGCTTAATGTCAATTTGTTTGGCCTAATTAGTTGCAGTTAAATTTAAAAGTGGGTTATATTAAACGAGTTTCAGTAGTTTTTTTGTTTCCATTAATTCTTTCCTTGTGAACCACCTTTTTAGCTAAGAGCAATTCCCCAAAGCGCCAAAATCAAAAGTCTGCTCTCATCCTATTATAATCTTTATGTTTTTTTTTTTCATATGATTTTGCGAGACCTGACTTTCAAGTAAAAGCAAAAAAACAAAAATGGTTGATAGTGGCTTCCAAGCTATAAAGAAGTGGATATTTTTTGCTTTTTAAACTTATTTCAAAAATAAGAACTCAACATCCAATTTTGTTTCAATTTTTTGTTCGGATTTTAGATTCTTGTATAGTTTCGGGCAATTTCCATTGTTTTGGATGTTTGGGTATTGATTTCTTTTAAAGTTTCATTTTTAGTTCTAAATGAATTTTTAAGATGATGTAAAACCAAGTCTTTGTCAAATAATTTTTTATAATGTATTTAAAGTTTCTAAGACTAAAATAAAAAATAACTTTATTTTGAGTTATATAATATATACATATACAATTATTAATGAAATTAGTAGATATTATGACTCACTAGAAGATAAATATCTTATTCATTCAAGAAACTAAATCGACGGGAAAAAAGGCTAGAGAGATTGATAATTTAGGTTTAAATTTTGGTATTTAGGTAGGAGTCATATTGAAAATGGTATAGGTGTAATTATAGATAGGAGTTTGAAATATAATGTTGTAAAAATTAATAGAATTGAAGATAAAATTATAACTCTCAAGATTATTGTTGATACTAAAATTTTTAATATTATAAGAGCTTATACTGCTGAATAGGTTTATATATATGTTCGAAAGAAAAATATTGAAGTGACTTAAAAGAACTAAAACAAATGATGCTTCTTGAAGAAAAAAATTTTGTAGGAGATTTAAATGAACATGTTGATAGAGCAACAATATAAAATCTTAGAAATGTTCATGATGATTATGATTTTGGAGTGATTATTGAAAATTGTAGAACCATATTAGATTTTGCTCTAGCTTTTGATTTTGTTATTGCTAATATTCTATTTTGTTGTTGCTAACTTTAGCTTATAACAAAAATACTGAATGAATCTCAATAGAAATGTGTAAATATTTAGGATATTTAGGAGTTTCTTGGCTTACTATAATTTTTCATTTTATTTTAAAAACTAAAAGAATCTCTAAGGAATGGAGGAATAATATTTTGGTCTCCATTTTTAAAATAAAGGAGATGCACAAGAGTGTGCAAATTATAGAGGAATTAAGTTAATGTGTCATACATTAAAATTATGGGCGAGAGTAATTAAACATAGGTTAAAATGTGATACAAAGATTTCTCATAATCAGTTTGAATTTATTGTGGGGCAAGTCTACTATGGGACTTATATATTTATCGAAAGGTTTGATGGAGAAGTATAGAGAGAGTAAGGAGAACTTACTTATGCTTTTTATTGATTTATAAAAAGCTTACGATAATGTTCCATTCGAAGTTTTTTGGAGAGTTCTAGTAAAGAACGGTGTTGATATGACTTATATTCAAGTCATTGAAGATATGTATAATATAGTTGTTACTTTTGTTCAAACAGGAGGATTGACCATGTATATTTTCCTATTTCAGTTAGATTTCATCAGGGATATACTTACACCCACATCTTTTTTACTTTAGTTATGGATGCTCTTCCAGACATTTATAGGAAGATGTACCTTGGTGTATGTTTTTCACTGATGATATCCTTATTGTGGATAAGACTAGAAAAATAGTTCAAGAAAAATTTGAATTATGAAAGTCTACATCAGAGTTTAAAGGACTTTGTTTGAGTAGATAAAAAATTGAATACATGGAATGTAATTTAAGTAGTAATAGTAGATCTAGTGACAAAGTTATAACTATTGGCGATCAAATCATTAAAAGGTGTGAACATTTAAGATATCTTAGGTCTATTGCTCAGAGTGATGATGATATAGATGGGGATGCTATTACTAGAATTCAAGTTGGTTGGCTGAAGTGGAGGAATGCAGCGGGTCTATTCTGTCATAACAAAGTACCACATAGACTTGAAGGAAATTTTAAAAGATGGTGGTGAGACGTGCATTGCTTTATGGCGCAGAATGTTAGCCTTTAAAAGAGAAGCATAAAACTAAGTTAAGCGTTGCTGAGATGAAAATGCTTAAGTGGATGAATAGCTTGATGCTTAGAGATAAAATGCAAAACAAATGTATTCGTGAAAGGGTTGGTGTAGCTCCAGTGGCAAACATGATTAGAGAGAGTCATCTTAGATGGTTTGGTCGCATCAAAGGTCGACCATCTGATGATCTGATCAGGAGAGTAGATCTTTTAGATTCGACTTATGTTAAGAAAGGTAGAGGTAGACCTAAAAAGACTTGGACATATTATATGAAAAAAATGATTTTAATTTATTAGAATTAAATGAAAATATGACACTTATTACGACACAATGGATTATGTAGTTGTCCCTACTTAGTGAGATAAATACTTATTGTTGTTGATGCTGCTTCTATTTAACAGTTCAATTAAAGATATTGCATCTTTTTGGGATTGGGTACTATTGCATGTAAGTTAGTTGTTTTTATATCTATTGAGCATGAATCTTTTTGAAATTGTTATAGATGGAAATCTAATTGATTGTGCAGAATTTTTTTTAAAAATCTTGATCTAGTAAACTTGCATTTACTCAACAATGAAGGATGTGCATGATTATATTCATAGAAAGCTAATTTTTATTTATGACAATTATATTGCTCTGTTAATGTGAACAAAATATGTGGAATTCAAATCATGTTATAATGTAGTGGCATTTTTTTTTAAAAGAAAAATATTATAGAGGCCGTTAAGAGATTAGCTACAAAAAAGATATAATGATATACAATTTATGAATCATTTTGATAAACGCTTATAAATCAGAAACCTTGGAAAGCATTTTGGAAGATTTACATACATACCACTCAATTCTTATGCATTTACATATCTAACACCTAAACTTGAGTAGTTTTTACATTTACGTCGCTCAATTCTTATGCATTTACATATATAACACCTAAACTTGAGTTTTTACATTTACGTCGCCTTGTCATTGCATTAAAAGATGTATTTCACTTTTAAAGTAAAAATGTTAGTGTATTTTTGATGTGATATGAAAGATTTTGGTGGTATAAATATAAAAGTTATGGTGTCAGATATGTTAATACCTACGAATTGGTTGGTATGTATGTTGATGCCCCTCTAGTTTTAAATGTATTTTATTTGACTTTATTATATGAATGCACTGCTAATATTGTGGTTTCTTCTTTCTCCTCATCCCTCATCCCTCATCCCAAATTCACATCTAATGCCCTACTACGCAAGTTTATTTAGTTTGTCCTTGATGATATTATGGATGATGCGATTATGCTTATTATGATGGTAGATCTTATATACATTGTTGTGATATGCTTATTTATGTCGATTCATCACTCATCAAGCGCTCAATTCATTT